TTATGATGTCTGGACGAATATTCTCGAAAAGTGATTATGGCTATCGAACTGGATTCGCTTGATTTCGATGACCTCACATACAATTCAAAAATAATGCACGGCGACAAAATTAAGGAACAAAAATACATACAAAAACTAATATAAAGAATGACGGTATATTGAAGAATGATGGTCAATAGTGTGTCTTATCGCCTTTTTTGCAAATAACTTCCATGCATCTGCCGTCCATGATGCCAATGAGCTTTCGAATGAACTCGATAGAGATGGCGTCCCATGCACTTTGAATCGCATCTCGAAGGTCGACGACATTTCTGTACTGCTTGCCATGCCCGTAAACATGGCGGGACATCGCAGCCCAAATGTTTTGGATTGGATTCAGGTCAGGAGAGCGCGCAGGCCATGGCATGACGGAGAGGTGTTGCTCGTGAAAAAAGTCCATTGTTTCATGGGAAACATGAATGGATGCATTGTCTTGCTGAAAGATAAAATCAGCACCATAGTTTAAGTGTGCAAATGGCAGAAAATACTATGAAAGAGTAGAGATGTAGTGGCAGGACGACTGCTTACCACTAAGAAACGCCAATTTGCTCTTTCCTTCCCACGCAATGCAACCCCAAACCATCACTGAACCGCCGCCTTGTTGCCGTGTCACGACTTGTTTCTCGGGTTGTCGAATATCGCGCCAGTACTGCTTAAAACCATCCGGGCCATCCAGGTTGAACTTCTTTTCGTCCGAAAACACGACGTACTTCCACTCTTCGGTTCTGCAACGCGCCATGGCCCAGTCGAATAATCATATTTCGAGAATATTCGTCCACACATCATATCCAAACAGCATCGCTTAGCTCCCATTGGTTGATGAGATATCACAAAAAATGTAAGTGTTCTCTCATTTTTGGCGCGCAGTGTATTACGATTCAAGGCCATATTCGAAGTACTAGGTGTCCCTTAAGATCCATCGTCGTCTAAAGTACAGAGAACCGAGTAGGAACTCGCGCACAGTGGTATTTTGAAATATATGGGGAATTGTATGCGAATGCGCATGTTGTGATTCCGAGTGCGAATTATAATTTTGCAATCAGATCAATCTGATTAATTTTATTATATCCAATCATACAATTTACAAACTTTTTATAAGCATACTATTGGTTAAAATATAAAATATGAAAAAAATACTATTGGTTGACGTCGGAATTTATGAATGCTCCATGGAAAAAAGATAGTGTCCATACCACTGTGCGCCAGTTCCTACTCGGTTCATTGTAGTCCAGACAAGCGCTTCTCCACTCGTCGGACTTAATGGTCTGATTTATACGGATAGCCCTAAGATAGGACCAGTTTTTGACTTACACGCACCTAATTTTTTTGTGACTTTGTGATGAAAGATTTCCAATATTGTAGTCTTTCTGTACCTATCGCTTTGATACCATTTCATTAAGAAGACCTAAAAAGGATTTTAATCAAGGACAAATCCTTCCTGAGAAAAATCAATTTTTAGAAAATCGAAGTGACCAGAAACTATAGACACACTAATTGGGGTGCACCAGTGAGTGGATTTTTGTCCACCATTTTGGTTCAGCATAATAGTGTGCCAAAATGTGGTCGAATTCGTCTGTAGCAAGGTTTTCGACGTTTGGAATACTTTAAATATCAAATGCAACGGTTTGGATGCATCTAATTAGTCGTCAAGCAATTCACTATTATGCTGAACCAAAATGGTGGACAAAAATCTACTCACTGATGCACCCCAATTAGTGCGTCTATAGTTTCTGGTCACTTCGATTTTTGAAAATTTGATTTTTCTCAGGAAGGATTTGTCCTTGATTAAAATCTTTTTTAGGCATTCTTAGGGAAATGGTATCAAATATATAGGTGCAGAAAGACTACAATTTATTTGAAATTTTTCATCACAAAGTTACAAAAAATGGGTGCGTGTATTGGAAATTCGGTATGAGTTTCCGGACCTCGTTTAATCGAATCTCGCTGATCGAATCGAGCACCAATCTCTCCCATTGATCAATCCGAAATTACTTGTCGCTGATTAGCTACAATCCATTTTCGAGTTTCTACTGGAAGGGCGAAGTGTATAATGGCCAATCAGATGTCTCAGCTCTATTTATGCTCGATTGAACGAACCATGCAAAATTGGGAAATTTGAAGAAAATCGACAATATAGTTTTTGGCCATACTGTAGTCATTGATGAATTTCCGAGCAAATATAATTCATATGGTTTCTAAAATGCTAATACTGAGTACTGTGGCGCCATCTAATGATACTTAATAACTACTACAAGTCTACTAAGTACTCCGGAGTAGTACTCGTATTATTAGTACTCCGAGTAATGATTTTGGCCATCACCCCTGTAGCAGTCCTCAAATCAATACTTCCGTTAATAATCCATACGCATGTCGTGAGTGGACAAACTACGTAGTCAAGCAACCACGGGGTTTCTACAGCGCGTGTTTCGCGAGCACAAAGGGCTATACTACACGTATAGTAAAGCGATTACAGCGGTATCAGTCGTCGTCTTATTCACAATAGAGTGATTTTGCACCAACAATCCACACGAATTTTCCAATACAATATCACTCAAAATCCTTCGGGGAATATCTTGTTGGAAGGTGCTTTTGCTATAGGGACAATTCACATATACGCAGAACTATCGCTGTGTTTGTTGTTACGGCTCTTCTGGGGCACTGTTTTGTCTCCCGCTTCTTCATGGCTTTCGGCCACGGGACCTTCGTCAAGGTAGCAAATATAACTCGCTGACATTAGTGAGGTTAAACACGCCGCCACGAGGCGCCTACTGACTACCATTCACTAAAGTACTCAGTACCTCCACTAAGGTATCGGAACCTTTGACACGGCTCACACACAGAGTGTGTGTGATTGCAATGGGTCCAACTAACGCGCGACCCAATTGCTCTGCACACTGCAAAACACTTCCCCTCCTACGGAAAGTCCAGTACCATGATGAGGGCGGCCACGGCAGGGTCTTCCTTGTTGGTCACCGCCCACTTGCGAAATACGACTGGAATGTCGTCCAGCAAATTCGCCGCAGGTTCCCAGGACGATTCTTCATCGTCCAATCCAAGCCACTTCACCAAAACTTGGTGTTGGCCATTCACGGATCGCGCTTTGTCCAGGCGCTCCACGTGAAATCCGCCATCCCCAAACGCGATCTGCGCCTCGAAGTCTTCGGTCACCTCTCTACCACCTTCGTGGTACATCTTCAATCGGCATGCATGATGGACCGTGACTTCGTACGGTGGCACCAACTGCTGAGTCTCCATCACATGGTCTGTGATAACTCTGGTCACTTGGCAGGGTCCGCGCCAATGCAGGGCCAATTTTGTCGGACGGTTGACGACCGATCCGACGAGCACAAAATCGCTGACTGAAAAAACCCGCAAACTTGACTTGAGATTTTCGGTCGCGGCGTCCGCGCGCTTACTGACGCAACTTCTCGCTTCTCACAGCAACGTTGCGGTGCATTTCTTCATGCGCCGCTTGGAGGTCCGTCACATATTTTTTACGGGCATCGCCAAGCTAGTCCGCGACGTAAACTTCCTTGAACGTCGGGCGGACAAATCCTGTCAGCGGGGTCTTAGCTGACAGGCCGGTAAACGCTGTCACAGGCGCAATTCCTCCCAGCCGGTCTGCCGGCTGATGGTTGAGGGC